GAAAGAGTGACCTTTAGCTCTCTCTCTCTCTGTTTTTCTGGAGCAGTGAGAGAGTAGGTGAGAGGAAGTGAGAGGTGGGGCAACCTGGAAATTATCCAGTTGGCCTATAATACCAGGGCTTCTCCCCTTGGGGATGATCTAGGAATGTCAGTAGGGCCAAGGAACACCGCGATGACCACCTACTCCTGGACACATTGGAACGACCCTCTCAGCCCCTCCTGAGTCACCCTCTCTCCTTCCCTTCTGCAGGGGCATGTCCTTCCACGGCACCACCATCGGCCTGGCCCCCCTCATGGCCATGTGCTCTGTGTATCAGTCTGGAGGAGTCAATATGGTGAGTCTGAGCCGATATATTGATGTTGCAGAAGGCAGAAAACTGCCTCACAAGACAGGAAGTCGTCTTGTCAAAAATAATTTTATATACATACATATATATATATACATATATATATAATTTGCAGAGAAAAGAAAAGCTTTGACATCAAGAAGGGTCTAAGAAATGGCGATACCAAGGGGCGAACTATCATTTATTATATTTTATCCCTGATTTTCAAGCTCAGGAGAACCCAGCAGTGATCACGTTAATATGTCACTGGATCTCTCATATATTCCAAACCAGGAGCTAGAGAATAGTAAGATAAATAAAGATGAAAAAAACTTTTATTCTGGGTTTTATGTTGTTAATGTATATCGTTATGAAACAAGAGCCTGTCTTGAAGTCATGGTTAGGATAGGTTACTGCCTTCATTTGAAATGCTCTCTGACTTTGTGACTATTCACTAAATGACTCTTTATCTCTGACCTGTAAAATAGATAGCAAGAGCCTGCTCTTATCTATTTACCCACCCCTCCCTCTGCCCCGTATTACCAGCAGATGTGGCATAGTGATTAAAAGCGTGGGCTTTTAGCGCTGAGCCTGTGCGCACACTGATTGCGGAATCAATGGAGAGCTGCGAGGCTCAGCCAAAGAAAAGGCAGGGTAGGAGGTGGGGGTAGCTGTCTTCTAGACCCGAACTCTCTCCCTGTGCAGGACCACTCTGAGAATGCCATTGGCGTGGCTGCCACCGTGGCCCATGAGATGGGCCACAACTTCGGCATGAGCCATGATTCTGCGGATTGCTGCTCAGCCAGCGCGGCTGACGGTGGGTGTATCATGGCAGCTGCCACCGGGTGAGTCAAGCAGGAAGGGGAGGACAGGGTGGAGGACGAGCGTGCAGGATCAGTGCAACCCAGGCGCTCTTCCCAGCTGGCCCCAGGGGGCCTGGAATACCTCTGGTGGGGGCCTCGGAGAGAAATGCGGTTTTGACAACAAAGAAATTGGAAGAGGACCAAGAAAGCAGATTTGTGGAAGGGCTGCTAGGTTTCTAGCAGAAGGTTTTGTGCTGGTGGAACCCTAGATTGACTTAACTTCTATCTTAGGGTTTTTAGTGGTAGAATTGGCCTGACCACATGTGTCTTATTCTCTTTATGTGTTTTTGATGAGGACCCATTTTGGTAACAGTCACAATTCTTAGTCTCTCCATTCTAAGGGAGCTTGATGAGTGCTGTTACATCCCAGGCTTGACTGAAAATGCTGATGTGGCTTCCAGAAAAAGGAAGAGGAAAGGGAGCATCCACATACCCACAGTGACCCCGCGGAGACTTTATACGCTGTGTTTACCACAAGGAACAAGGACAAGGCAGCTGCATCTCCCTATAGTTGTGAGGGGTTTTTAAAACAGAGCCTTTGAAAGGGAGTTCTGGAATTTAATCAAAGGACTCATATTTAGTATCTGGACTCCCTTAGCAGAGAGCAATGGGTTCTTCCAAGACCCGAGTCACTCTTTGGAAGGCATCATGGTTGAAGCTTGTGCTTCTCCCATGCCAAATCATTAACACCTGCTTATTTCTTAGAGAAATGGTATTTGAGTATCTCTAAGAGAAAATGCAGCTTTCTTGGAGCTCCAGTGGCCAGTGATTTTCCCTCATTTCTCAACTGTGACACACAAGGGATGCTGATGACATACAAGAAATAACCCCTTGGGCCATGCTTAAATCCCTCTGAGCTCAAGGTTAAGTCACCCATTTTGCTCCCAATCTAAAAGGGCATATATTTATATAGGTATGGTTGAGAGTTATATTAATTATTACTGCAATTTGTTTTTAAGCTATTCACAAATTTTAGAGGTTTAACTATTATTAGTGACAAATTCCTTGTGACATACCTGACAACTAAAGGAAACCTTCTAGTGTTTAACTTTTAATTGGTTTAGAGAATTGAGATCAAGATAACTCTTCCTTATAGACGCACCTGCATAGTGGTACTGACCTGCCACCAGGGGATGTGTGACTTCTGATTCTTTTTCCCAATGATGGGACCCAGGACCTCTTATACCCATGAGATAAAGACCATGCATCATGAGTTGCATTTGGAGCAATGCCTGTATCCTTAGAACAGATATCAGATCACTGGTCCAACAAAGAAATTGAATCCATGATCTTGGTCTTTTTTGACCTGGTTCTCTATCTCAAGAAAATCTCTATCCACTATCAGCTTCAGGAAAAGTTTGGGTTGGCTGGCATTTTATTCAGCTCTAAAGCTCAAGAGACCTATTGTAACACTCATAACCTTTTATTTATTGCAACCCTTTATGCAAAGGTCAAAATTTGCTGCTTCTGATTCTCGAATACTTCCCCCATGCAGAAGGAGGAGAAAAAAAATTATGTGGTAGTTAATATTTCTTCATTCTTAGAAAGAATTGTAAATTAATGTATTGGTAATGTTCCAGGGGCGGCAGGATGTATGTGCAGGGGACCGTGGGTCTGAGTCCATCCAGGTGGAACCAGCTTAGTGGGCAGCAGGACTGATGGCTGTTTTGGCTGCTTGATGCTCAGATTCCCAACTAACTCCGACCTTATTCTCTCCCAGGCATCCCTTTCCCAGAGTATTTAATGGATGCAACAGAAAGGAGCTGGACAGGTATCTGCAGTCAGGCGGTGGGATGTGTCTCTCCAACATGCCAGACACCAGGACGCTGTATGGAGGCCAGAGATGTGGGAACGGGTACCTGGAAGATGGGGAAGAGTGTGACTGCGGGGAGGAAGAGGTAAGGTGTGGTGGTGATAGCGAGAGAGAAAGAATTTGCACCAGTTTCAAATCCAGGGGTCAAAGAGAATACAATTGAAAAATTTCATAGTCGTAGGCATTCCCCGTATACACATGGCTATCAAAGACCCTGTCACAAATAAGGTGTGGAGAGTAAGCCTTAACCGTGGGCCATTTCTACAGACTCTCACAGTTTGAGGTTGACACTGTTTGTGTCCAAGTCAGGGTAGAGTTCTTGTGAGTGTCTGGCCTAACCAGAAACCACAGTCTTCAGCAGTGGAGTGACAGATGGCCTCCTTGGCCTTCCAGCTGCACTGAATTTATTCTGGAGGCCACACAGCCGGATATATGAACTTGAACCTGGGCCTTATGAGGATGCTTAAAATAACAAGCTCGTGCTGTTTAGCCTGGAGAAGAGATGATCGAAAGGGGAAGTGGAAAGGACTGTCAAGTCCGAAAAGGGCTGCTCGGAGGAAGGAGGAGGACCGTTCGTGTATGAGCTCTTTCGTTTCCTTTGATCTTCAAAATGAACGTGACGGGCATAGAGCATAGCTCTGTCATTTGTAACGGATGCGTGTTGTTCTGCAAAAAGCAGAACTGGATAGTTTCATCTCTATTTTTTGAAGGATGAAAATAAGTACGTTAACATCTGAAAACAATTTGGGGGAAAATCCATGAGTCTCAGTTAACTAAGGCGGTGAGATGGAGGGTCTGTATTTGTGGGGAAAGACTGATTTTATAACTTTCTCTACAGTTTGATTTTATTTTTAATGCCAGCCTGTAACTTTCATAATACAACAAGACCTAGTTAAAGGCTCTGCCACCCCCTACCACCATGAGTTCCAAGCGATCAGCCCAGACACTTCAGAAAGAAGGGTGTCGTATTATCATGGTGGGCCCAGTGGGTTTGGCGAGTGGCTCATGAGTGGGCTCAGCCAGTTGGCTTATATTCGGAGCAGCTGCTTATTCTACAACTATTTACTGAGTGGGGCGGGGGGTACTATGTTGGGCGCTACGGATAGGCGAGATATAGCAAAAATAGATGTGGTCCCTGTCCTCGTGGGGTGTATAGTATAGTGGGGGAAACGCACAATGACCAAATAGTTGCAAAAGTGAATACAATCCATGGTAAATGCTAGGAGGGCCAATGGCAAGATGCCGTGGGTATAGATAGTATGAGGGGAGCTACGTATCTGCGTGAGAGTATGACCTCTGACCCCATATCCGAAGGCTAAGTTAGGAGTTAGTGAGGAGCCCAAGGAGAAAAAGGCACATTTCAGTTAGAGGAGGAACCGTGCCTTGAGGTGGGAAGAGACGTGGTATGTTCGAAGGGAAGGAACACAGTTCTGCCTGGAGCCCATGATGGTGAGAGATTAATGCAAGGAAAGTGTCCTCATTCCTCCTCTTAGGAAAGACAGGTAGATGAGTATCTATCGTCAAGTGGCGGCTTGCGTCTCTCCAGCTTGCGGCACGCCAGCCCTGGACAGTTACGGCGATGATACGGTTAATAAGCAGGGGCTGGACCTCAGGTAGACATGGCCTGAATTCAGCTCCGGCACTCACCAGGTGTGTGCCTAGACCAACCACGGGACTTGTCTGAGCCGCAGTTTCCCCACCTGTGAAACAGGAATCATCTCGCCTCACAGGCTGTGATGTTCCTATACATGGAGCCCAACTCATTGTCAAGAAATGTTTGTTGTGGCCTGTGACTATGGTTGGAGTGTGATGAGGACACTCAGAGGCACTGGCCGTCTCTTCATACTTTTAAATTTCATGCCGTATGTCAGCAACTCAGGACCCGTAGGGCAGGAAGGGAGTGAGGAGAGCATGGAACCTCTAGAGACCTTCTGTCCTAGAAGGTCTGTGTCACTGAGGGTTGAGGAAGAGCAGCAGAAGGCAAGAGAAGTCTGAGGAAGCCAGTGCCCGGAGCTGACGTAAACTGTGTCCAGGTTCTTGAAGCATGCCCTTGCTCCCGATGGCTGCTTTTTAAGGGGATAGTAAGGCCTGAGAGTGTGGGGCCACGGAGGGCAGCATAGGAGACAGTCTTCGGATGTTCTATCGGGGATGAAAAAAACAAGTCACAGAATTTCCATATAGGTCTGTACTGAAAATCATATTTTGGGAGAATGCTTGATTATAAGAAGTGTACATATTATACTAAGTTAAAAAGCAGCGTGGATATTTTAATTTTGTAAAATAAGTTTATGTTTATGTATATGTATACAAAAATGTCTGGAAAAATAACCACACTCAAAATGTAGTTATGTCTGAGTTGTGGTGTTACTGACGATTGTGTGTGTGTGTGTGTGTGTGTATATGTATATGTATACTTTTTCTCTGATAAATACACTTTACCATAGTGATTAACCTATAAAACAATTTTTTGATAAAGGCTTCATAGGGAGCCTGGGTTCCAGGGGCCTGTGGGGAAGGGATGGGGAGATGTGGGAGGAGGACGAAGACTCTCCCCCACCCAGGCCGCTGTGTCCCCGCCCTGCTGCCCTGGCGGCTCACACTGCTCCCCCTGCCTCCCCAGGAATGTAATAACCCCTGCTGCAATGCCTCCAACTGCACCCTGAGAGCGGGGGCGGAGTGTGCCCATGGCTCCTGCTGTCACCGCTGTAAGGTAAGTGGCCCTTGCCCCCAGCCCAGGGCTCTGCTGTAGGGGTGATGGCCAGGACGCAGCCTCCATGTCAGGGAAGAGATGGCGTCAAAGTTTTAGAAACCTCTATACTGGTCCCCACTGAGTTCAAATCATCCCAGAGGGTTGTGGCTCCTGGATATGAGAGCATTGTTTTAAAAAAGAAGTGTCCAGAGAGAGTAAGCTTGATTTTATTTGGAGCTCTTAATAATAATCAATATAATTTTGATTAATTTTAATAGAGCCCTTATTTGACGCCAGACACTGCGCAGACAGTTTGATATGTTATCTCATTCAGTCTTCACAAAAGCTCCATGAGATGTGTATTATTATCTTCAATTCGAGATGAGGGAACTGGGGCTCTGAGGGGATAAGCAGCTTATCTGGGAGCACACAGCCGGGAAGAAGCAGAACCCGGTGTCCTCGACTCTGGAGCCCACATTTTTCATATTGATGTGGAAGGTATTACTACTCATATCACTAAGCCTTCAATCTCTTATCTACCATTCTAAAATTCAGAAAGTTCTAAAACCTGAAAAAAAAGTTTTAACTCCTTTGGTGTATAATTTTACCTGAATTGATATGAAAGTAATTATAGCCTTTAAAAAAAAAAATCACACTTGTGACTATTTATACTTCACTGCAGAATTATTATTTGATTATAATGCGTAATCGCAGGCCTTGCTGGGGGGTTATGTAATACACATATGTAATGTCTATCTTTATACATACATATGTACATACATATGTAATGTCTGCTTCCTAAAATCTGAAAAGTCTGAAGCCCACCTGGCCCCCAGGTTTTGGGTGGGAATTGTGGGCCTGTGCCTCCACCTGCCGCTTGCTGAGTGCTTCTTTTATGCCAGATACTGTTCAGGTGTTTGATTTGGACTCACTCCTTCTAGCAACCCCACGAGAGGGTTATTATCCCAATCGACTCTGCAGGAGCACAGAGAGGTTAAGTAGCTGCCCCGGTCCCTCTGCTGATGAAGGAGTTGGGATTCAAACCCGGGCAGGCTGGCTCCAGGCTCGGCCCTCTTGCCCTCCATCCTGTTCCCGATGGAGACATGTGTCCCGCAGCTTCCCCCTCCGCACCTGGCCGTGCCCCCTCCGCGCACCCCTCGCTCCCCCTCTGCACACGCAAGCTGCACAACTGGCCCCTTCTTGCCCTTCCTCCTGGGAGGGCCCTGCGGATGGTGTGGAGTCGCCGGGGAGCGGGGAGGGCGCTGTTCTCAGGGTCAGCTCTCCCTGTTTGGCCCAAGAGAACTGGCATGCTCTCTGGTGACAGGGTGGACCAGCATCTCTCCAGGGAGGCTTGCCCTCCATCCTGTTCCCGATGGAGACATGTGTCCTGCAGCTTCCCCCTCCGCACCTGGCCATGCCCCCTCCGCGCACCGCTCGCTCCCCCTCCGCACACGGCCCATGCCCACTCTCACAGCTCAGATGACGTGCTTTCAGCAAGCTGCACAACTGGCCCCTTCTTGCCCTTCCTCCTGGGAGGGCCCTGCGGATGGTGTGGAGTCGCCGGGGAGCGGGGAGGGCGCTGTTCTCAGGGTCAGCTCTCCCTGTTTGGCCCAAGGGAACTGGCATGCTCTCTGGTGACAGGGCAGACCAGCATCTCTCCAGGGAGGCTGTGCTGGACCAAGTCCTTTGAGTGTCAGACCAAGGCCTGAGAATAAACATGGAGAGCGCCTATCTTGTTCTGTCCCCAAATTTCAGTTTGAGTCTCAGGAAGGATTCCCTGGAGGGAAGTGTGTGGGAAAGGACGAAGCTTGGAGTCTGACTGAGACTTCAGCTCAAGCTGCATGATTTGGGGCAGCCTGTTAACCGTCTGGGCCTGGGTTCTTTGTCTGTAAAATGGGAAGGGTATTAATAACACCCAGAGACGCTTGAGGACCCAAGTGGAAACTCAATTTTACCGTTTGTCCGAGGCGTGCTACTGACCAGGTCATTTTATCTGCAGAGTGAGGCAAATAGCAATATCTGTCTCATGGATATTGTAAGGTTCACGTGAGATAAGAAAGTGTAACACACTTAGCCTAGTGCTTGGCTCAAGAATGGAGGTGTATTATTGCTAAAGGGAGTTGCAAAGTCAAAGATGTGTGAATACTAGTTACTGTCTGTGTGTTTGTGTGTGTGCACATGCGCATGTGGCTATACATGTAGATGTATATATATTGTATTGTAATATGTATATATGTTGCATTGTATTTTGGATGTATATGTGTGAATGGGTCTGTATGTCTGCATATGTGAATTTATAATGCATGGTGTGTGTGGGTATCTGTGTGTATATATATTAGTGGGCCTGGCTTGTCTGCCACTTACTCACCATGAGACTTTTCATGCATCGCTTAACCTCTTCTGCCTCAGGTTTCATCATTCGTAAAATAGGGATAATTATATTACATAAAAGTATCATAAAAGCTAAATGAATTAATATCTGTACTGGGCACTTAAGTGGGAGCTCTGTAAAAGTGGCCGTTATTACCGAAGCACTTAGTAAACTGTAAATTGTTGCATAAATGTTATTTCTTACCTACTTCTGAAGACTCCAAAGAGGAAGTGAGTTAGCATTAGTGAAAAGACCCAGAAAACGCTTAAGTCATTATTCATATTCGAAGGTTGGTGGTGGTTTGAGCTAATGAGATCATGTAAGAAGTGCTCTGAAGTAATGATGATGGGAACTTCTGTCCCACAAGAGTGATGGTCGTGAGCCCTTTGCTGGCAGGGCTGAGGGTGGGTGGGAGAGTGACTGCTGTTCCCTCTCATTCCTTGGCTCAGCTGCTGGCCCCTGGCACCTTGTGCCGTGAGCAAGCGCGGCAGTGTGACCTCCCGGAGTTCTGCACGGGCAAGTCTCCCCATTGTCCCACCAACTTCTACCAGATGGACGGCACCCCCTGCGAGGGCGGCCAGGCCTACTGCTACAACGGCATGTGCCTCACCTACCAGGAGCAGTGCCAGCAGCTGTGGGGGCCTGGTAAGTGAGCGGGGTGAATGGCCCTCCCCGCCCCACCGCTGCTGAGCCGGCCTTCCCCTGCAGGCACTTGGGTAGCTTAGAATCTTGGTTTCAAAACAGCTTCTTCTGATGCTACGCTGGGGTCCGGGTAGACTGGCAGGGAGAGGCAGTGGCCTGTGTTCTTCCCAGTTCCTCGATGCTTTAAGTTCTCAAAGTGGGCAAATGGATGAGAATAATCCAAAAGCAAAGTGGGCAGAGAGGAGAGACAGAAAAGGAAATGCACATGGCCCTTAGCTATGAGAAGATGTTCACCCTCATCATATTAAATGAAAGCAAATTATAACTACTGTAAGATGGGATTTTCCTTCTATCATATTGCCAAAGATTGAGGAGTTAATATAACAAAATAATAATAATAATAAATAATAATAATATAACTACCATAACAAGAGGAATAATAATATAGTTGTGTGGCAAATGTGAGGAAATAGATATGATCCCTATGGAGAGCAATTTGCAGATATGAAAATTTTAAATGCACTCCTCATTGGACCCATCCATTCTACTACTTAGGAATGTATCTTACACTGTATTTGCACGTGTGTGAAGATAGATTTACCAGGATATGCATTGCTGCATTGTAAGTTATAGCAATAACAACCTATATATCCTTAAGTAGGGGCTGATTAAATTAATCTTGGCACATCCATACAGTGGAACATGATGCACCTGAATAAAAGAAGGAGGCAGTTCTGTATACACCAAATAAAATCGTCTCCCACAATAAATTATGAGCAATGCAAGATGCAGAATGGTGAATAGAATATGCTGCCATTCTTTATTAGATAGGTTATCTCTAAAAGACACTTAAGAATTCTATCTAGAAGATATATAATTATCTATAGAAGATACATTGTTAATTGTGTATGCTTCTCCAAGGTGTAAGGAAGTAGGAACTGGAATGGCTAGTTGGAGGAATTCCCAAAACATACTTATTTCTTTAAAATTGTGTATGTATATTTCCTATTTTTAAAATCTTGAAATAAGACAAAGGCTTCATTAGAGAGAAGGATTAGTACACAAACCTCCCATAGATATGAAACCTCAATAAGGTATAAAGACCTGACATTAAACCTAGGTCTCGAGAAGGTAGGGGAGGAATGACCTGATAAGGGGGTACAGGAAGGAAAGGCTGATATTCTTTCCCAAAGAACTTTCTTAACCTTGAGATTTTACCAAGGGTCAGCTTTGCCCGTTGGGGGCCTCTGACTTTACTGGAGTTGGCTGGTGTACTGATAAATGTCTCTCGCCCTTCCAGGAGCCCGGCCTGCTCCTGATCTCTGCTTCGAGAAGGTGAATGTGGCAGGGGACACCTTTGGAAACTGTGGGAAGGACATGAATGGGGAGCACAAGAAGTGCAACATGAGGTAATGGCCATAGGGCAGATCCCATGAGATGAGGGGTGACGAAGCAATTCCTGCTTCGTCCTCTTCACTCCCACCTAGCACAGTGGCTTGGCTGGCCCCAGAGCGGAGCCTTTAAATAAATCGGTTGGAGTCGGTCATTTCTTCCAGGGCCATTATTGGACGAGGCCCCATTCAGCCCTAAGGAAGTCAGAGGGAGGGTGTGGATGGCAATTCTTTCTACAAAGCTGATCAGGTTCCCTTCTGAGACCTTTTTATAGTAAGGCAGGGAATCAGCCTTTTTAGGTCATTCCTTCGAGGTGCTAATTATCCCCTCATCTGAATAGCCCATCATTCATTAACTCATTCATTCATTCATTCTTTTCAACCACCCACCCATCCACCCATCCACCCATCCATTCATCTATCCATCTATCTGTTCACCCATCCAACTATCTATTGAGGGTTTATCAATTGCTAGATACTATGCTGAGTACATGGAACTTTTAATTAACAATGCACCGGGATAACGGACATGTGGAGAGAGCCTCCCAACCCAATCTTAGTGGGTGGAGGTGGTTTCCCAAAGAAAATTATGCCCAAGGTGAGATCTGGAGAAATTATCTAGTTGAACAGGGTGAGGAATGGTGCAGGTACGTAGGAGAGTGTCCCAGCATGAGACATGAGTAGAGAAAAACTAGTGGTCAGAAGAACTGATAACAACTTGATACAAAGTATAATGCTGGGAAAAATGGAGAAGGGGCTGCTGAAAAATGAATCTGGATAGTTAAGCACAGTCTAGATCCTGAAAAGCTTTGAATTCACGGCTAGGAGAGTTTAGACTTTGGCTTGAGAGCAGTATGGAAATTAGATTCCAATGGAGCAAAACAGGGGGCAGGATGATGTTTCCTGGTGTCCTGGTAAGCGAGGATGGTGATGTGAATTAGGGTAGATAGATAGAAAGGAGATTGACAGGCCTTGAAAACTGCTTGAACCCAGGAGTGAGGGAGAGTGGGCGTGGGGATGACACCAGGCTTCTGGCCGGAGCATCTGAGTGCATGGGAGTAGTGAGCACATGGGGCAGGTTGCTCCGTTCAGGCCGTTGTCCTTGCAGTGGAGAGGACATCCCGAGGCCAGCTTCGATCTGCTTGGGGACAAGGATCCTGTTTTCTTTTCTTGGTCTCTGTCCACGTAGGGTCTCTCCAGGCAGGTCCCTAGATTATACTCCTTGCCCCCATGTCCCTCTCCCACCGAAGCCTGCTGTCCTTGTCACAAAAGACCGAAGCTCTCCCCTGCCTCTCGCTTCACCCCTCCCTCCCTCTCTCTCGGGCCCAGAGATGCCAAGTGTGGGAAGATCCAGTGTCAGAGTTCCGAGGCCCGGCCCCTGGAATCCAACGCGGTGCCCATCGACACCACCATCATCGTGAATGGGAGGCAGATCCGGTGTCGGGGCACCCACGTCTACCGAGGTCCCGAGGAGGAGGGTGACATGTTAGACCCAGGCCTGGTGATGACCGGGACCAAGTGTGGCTACAACCATGTGAGTTCCTTCCCCCAGCCTCACTCGGGCTGGGCCGCAAGGGACAGTGATTGAGAGGGAGGATGCCTGGGCTCAAATTCCAGCTTGCCCAACCTCTCCGCCTCAGTGACTTCTTTTATGAAGCCTGTTAGTAAGGGAAGACTGCGCCCCACCCCGCCCTTAGAATTGTTATAAGGACTAAGTAAGATAACCCCGTTATCCATTTAGGTGGCTGGCTATGAACACCTATGTCCTTATCATTAATTATTACGTGAATTAAGACATGGATGAGACTAGGAGTTGGGGAAAATAATAGCATGTATCTCAGAGTTAACTGTGAAAATGAAACTATAAAAAGCATATTAAGTACTTGGTATAGTACCTGGCACAGAATACACTGCTGTCACTATCATTATTTTTAAGTATAATATTAAAAATTAGTTCATATTAATATATTAATTAAGTAACTAACATATAACCAACATATAGTAATACAGAATATAATAACATTTATTATTTATTAAATACAATGTTTTAACAATTAATATTTATCATTTTCCCCCAGTTACAAAAGTAATAGCAAAATTTCATTAACTACTGTCTTGTCCTTGGCTTTTTATGTCGTTTTCAGTTTTCCACTGTAATAAATAACCTGGTGGGCTACCTTTTTTGAGTCTCATGTATTCTATGAAACAGTCTCCCGATTGCAACCGTTGTGCTCACAATTCGGTTTCCTCCTCACTACAGATTTGCTTTGAGGGGCAGTGCAGAAACACCTCCTTCTTTCAGACGGAAGGCTGCGGGAAGAAATGCAATGGCCACGGGGTACGTGTCCCTGGGGTCTGGGGCTCCTCCAGGGGAGCGTCCAGGGGCAGGTCCTGTGGGAGGCTGGAGCTCTCCAGGGTGCTGACACCTCTGCCCTGCCCCCGCTCCAGGTCTGCAACAACAACCAGAACTGCCACTGCTTCCCGGGCTGGGCCCCACCCTTCTGCAGCACGCCTGGCCAGGGGGGCAGCATCGACAGTGGGCCCATGCCCCCCGAGAGTGAGTGCCCGGCCTGCTCGAGGCCTCTGCTCACCTTTGTGAGGACGGGTGGGCGCTTTGGGGCAGGTGGCATGTTGCAGAGAGATAATGAGTCAGCTGCATCATCCTGATTTTGTAGACAAGGGAACAAGAAAAAGAAGGGCTGAGTGGGAGGAGCAGCTGGGCCTGGCAGCCTGGCGTGGGGCTCAGCTCAGTTGCTCTTCGTCTGTCCTTTCTACGGAGAAGGATGAAGCTGCTTACACAGAGAGAAGGACGACCAGATTACCGAACAGTCTCGTCCTCTTTGGGAATAGGGGTGGCCAGTCCTTCCCAGCCACTTAAAAATAATTATGAATCTGGGGCACATTCTAGTGGTTCAGATTCCCTTGGGTGAACAAAGCTGGAAATGGAGACCCAGACCCTCAGAAAAATTTAGTTTTTTAGTGGAAATCTGAAGAACTCCAGCCCTTTGGTTTCCATGCTTTTAAAAAAATAGTAGCAAAGGACTTTTTTTTTGAACAAAATCTTTCAAGGAAAGAACCCCAACATATGAAACAGATAAAAGTAGTGTGATCATTGTGTGTGTGTGTATTTGTACATTTAAATTTATAATTCGTGAGAACCTTGAGGCAGTTTTGATGAAACCAACTATGAAATTGTGGATTTTGTGTGAGTTCTAGCCTAAGGTCAGTTAAGTCACCAAGTATTTTGTCTTGATTGCTTAGTGTCCAGGAAAACATGACTCAGGCTGAAAACTAGTCTATAATAATATAAGAGCTGGAACTCCTGGCCTCGAAAGGGACTCTTCAATTAAACAGAAGTGGCTGGAGAAGCTTTTTATGAGGTCTGCGCAAAGCAAGTTGACCTGGATATATAAGCTACTATTAATGGTTTCCCAGTGGTACATAATGTATGCTTTTTATTATAATTTTTAAGTTAAAATAAGTGATACACATGAAATGCAAATTGGTTATCTAAAGAAGAATCAGGAATACATTGTTTGAAATTCACTGCTATAGTCCAAACAGCTTCTGATCTGTCACCGGGGTTCTCTCTCTGGAAGGTGCTGGCCCTGTGATAGCTGGCGTGTTCTCGACCATCTTCGTGCTGGCGGTCCTCATGCTGATGTGCTACTACTGTAAACAGAACAACAAACTGGGCCAATTCAAGCCCTTAGCCCTCCCCACCAAGCTGAGGCAACAATTCAGGTATGATGGAGTGCCATGAAGGACTCAGGGTCCACTTAGGGATCATAAAGCTTTCTATAAGCAGTGCCTGGTGGAAACGGTGGTGATGGTGGGTCTGATTCAGAGACGGCCAGTGCTAGGCACATGGCCCGTCTCCCCTCTGCGCACTCCATGGCCCTGGCAGACATTACTGGTTGACTTTACTGTAAATGTTCTCTACCGAACATGGCCATCACTTCAGAATCCTTCTCAGCAGAATGTCCCCAACCAATTTGAGTCAGAATATGAAAAGAAAACTATTTTCCTTTGTCTAATTGGTTTGCTCCCCATTTTAAAGAGCAGGAAACTAAGGCAACAAAGAAAGAATGACTAACTAGCCCAAGACACTCACAGAGGCGGCTAGACGTCAACTCAAGACAAAGACTGTTTTTTTTAAGCTGTTTATTCCCTTGGATGTTGACGACGTTTAGTCTCTGAGTCCCCTATTAAATTATACTTATTCTGGAGGGAATTTTAAATCCCAGGTCCTTCTGGATTGATGCCTAAAGGGGATTAGTTGATGGCTGGTGACATCCTTGTGTTTCCTTGAGGGAGAAAGGTTTTAAAAGGTTGAAGAGAAGGTGCTAAGGCCACCTCTCTTTCCTTTTCAGCCACACATGTCTCCATACCTAGGAAGCTGGGGTTCAGAGGGGCCAATCCTGCTTCCTTCAGAGCAGACTTAGGGAAGAATTAGCTGCTTACTAGCCACGCATGGGTCAGAGGGAACTCAAGCACTGACCCTCACTGATCATCCCTCCTTTGTCTTCTTTCTCCTTTCTTTGTTATTAGTTGTCCCTTCAGGGTGTCTCAGAACAGTGGAACTGGCCATGCCAACCCAATGTTCAAGTTGCAGACTCCCCAGGGCAAGCGAAAGGTAAGGGCTTTGCACCTTGAACTTTGCTAATTTTCCTATCTCCTCAGGACCCTGCTGGATTTTCCTACGAGCCTCTCTGTGGCCCATGGGATTGGTAGTAAAAGACATTTTCTTGGCATAAGAGACATTCAGTTGGGTCTGAACATCCTCCGATGACTTTAAAAGTTGCATCTGACCTCTAGGACCCCAGAGATTTCACAAGTCACCCCGTCTTCCTCTCAGCCTCTGGTCATTTCAGTGAGACACACAAAGGCACCCTTGAGTTTTTAAGTGCATTGAGGGTTCCTGTGTCTTAGACATTCCTTGTCTTATGCATACAGGTGACCAACACCCCTGAAACCCCACGGAAGCCCTCCCAGCCTCCTCCTCGGCCCCCTCAGGACTATCTGCATGGTGGGCCCCCACCTGTGCCATTGTCTGCACACCTCATCAGGGCTCCTAGGAACTCCCCAGGGGCCGGGTCCCAAGTCGAGAGGAAGGAGTCATCCAGGGGACCTCCCCCAAGCCGGCCAGTGCCCCCTGCACCAAATTGCATCCTCTCCCAGGTAAGTGGGTTCTTGGCAACCCTCCCTGGGGGCTTGCTTTTAAGGCCATCGGCTATGGGGAACGACCGAAGCTGGGAAGATGGAACTCATTGAGTCTGAGCTGACTGCCTTTTCTGCTTCTGGTAAATACAGGCTGAGAGCAACGAGCATGGGGAAATGTAGTCCCCAGGAGCCCCTAAACTACAGAGGATTTACTCCCTGGTTGGCCTATTTTATGACAAGCCTCTACTCACCTTCTACCCTAAATTAACTTTTTTCCATTCTCCATGGTCTTTTTCTCTCTAGGTTTTTGCAAGTGCTGCTCCTTCTGCCTGATACATTTTCTTCCTTTCCAATGCCCAGCTCCTCTTCATCCTCAGATCTCTTCTTAGCTGCCTCTTCTCTCAAGAAGTTTTCTCTGACCCCCGAAGCCTGAGTTTGGTGGCCCCGTACTTCTCTCATCATCATAATTATCCCGCCCAATTGTACCTGTTAGTATCATCCACTACTCAGGAAGTGTGACTGAGTGATGGACCATGATGTCTTGCTCATTTGAGGCGCAGGTCAAGGGGCAGGAGGCTGTGGGAGGCGTGAATGGGGTCTACACGCCCCGGCCACTGGTGCTCTTCGGAAGCAGAGCCACCCTGCCCGGCTGCCTGTTGACCTGGCATGTCATGCTCCAACGGCTCCTACTGTATCTTTTGGCAGAAGCTCCTGCAGCACAGACCCAGGTGTTTCCAGGGCGATGGCTGGGCCTGGTGCCTGTGTATTTTGGTGTGACCCCTCGGTGAGGCTGGGGACTTGCTTATTTTCCTCCTGGGACTGCTTCTCTTGGGTATGGCCAGAGGTTTCCACTGGGGCCCAGGCTTTCTCTGAAGCTCAGGACCGTGGGCTTGGGGCCAGGTCTTGCAGGGCCATCGGGACATGGGGCAGTGTCACCATTTGCCGGGTTTGGTTCTCTGCTTTCCCATCCAGAAAATCCTTGATTTGGGAAAAGCCTTGCAAGAAGGGAGGAGAATGACTGACAGAGAGAGAGAGAGAGAGAGAGAGAGAGAGAGAGAGAGAGAGAGAGAGAGAGAGAGGGGGAGAAGGAGGAGGAGGAGGCAGGAAGAAAGGGAGAGGAGCCAAAGGAGGAGAGAGGAGAAGGGGGAGAGTACATTAGTCTGCTGGGCAGCCATGACAAATACCACAAGCCTAGTGGCTTAAACAAAAGGAATTTATTTTCTCACAGTTCTGGAGGCTAGAAGTCCAAGTTCAAGGGGTCACTATGTTTGGTCTCTTCTGAGGCCTCTCTCCTTGGCTCCTCCCATGTCCCCATATGGTCCTTCCTTTGTGCTTGAGCACACGTCTCCCTGTGTGTCCAGATTTTCTCTTCTGAGGACACCAGTCAGATTGCATTAGGGCCTCGTTTTAACTTAATCACGTCTTTAAAGGCCCCGTGTCCAAAACCTAGTCCCATTCTGCGGTACCAGGGTCAGGGCTGCAACCTATGAACTTCAGAGGGGAGCACAGTTCAGCCCATAACAGAAGGAGAGGAGAGAAAGAGCAAGAGAGGAGAAAGCAACACGCAGAGAGACGGGTATGAAGGGAGAACAGAGGAGCAGGAGCAGAGAGGGAGGGAGCGGTCTGTTCAGATGACTGTTCCTAAAATACCCACTGTGGAGGCTTGGTCAGCGAAGGTGATGTCAGCCTCACCCCAAGGCCCCGAGCAGTCAGTTGAGGTGGGGGCGGGGCACCAGAGACAGGGGCGTTGTAATTTTAAATAAGGTGGTCGGGGGAGGCCTTACTGAGAAGATAACACATGAAGCTAATATAAAAGCACAAAGGAAAGGATTTCTGGTCATTGTGGCCTCCATAGACAACCAGCCTTTTTTCAGTTTTACTCTTACATGTGTATATCCTCTTATTGGAAAAATTTAATGTTCACCTGGGCGACCCCCCCTCCCCACTCACTCCCCTTCCCTGACCTCTGTTAACGGTTTGACCTGTATCCTTCCTGACTTTCTTCTGTACGTGTATATTTACACTGGGGCAGGGAGAAAGGGCCATGGTGACTTATTTCATGTAAACTACCTTCTTAGCTTGTATGTCAGCTTGCCGTGACTCCTGATCATCTTTCCACGTCAGCACACATCAACCCACTTCGTTCTTTTTAAATGCTGCATCATATGTCACTGTATAAATTTAGTAACTTGTCTATTGACGGAAAGTTTGGTTATAGTTTTTATTTCATTTTTTATTTCTTTGCTGTCACAGGGCTGCAGGAACATCCTTGCAATTTCACTTCTGTGCACCTGAGAAACCAGAACTCTAACATGAGTAATAGGCAGTGGAATTATTAGATCAGAAAATGATTATTTCTAATTTTAACAGATACTGTCAAATTGCTCTCCAAAAAAGGCTTTTTCCTGAGCATTAAAATGCACATGTACACAATTTCTTTTTTAAATGAGACCATATAGTATATCCCTTTTCTCACCTGATTTTGACCTGTAATTGTATTGGGAACATTTTGTTTCGAACAGGCCCCTCTGGCCTTTGACTAAGGCTTGTGACTTTCTCCCCAGGACTTCTCCAGGCCTCGGCCACCCCAGAAAGCACTTCCAGCTAACCCAGTGCCAGGCCGCAAGGCCTTCCCCAGGCCAGGCGGTGCCTCCATACTGCTGCCCGCTGCTGCCAGCCCTCGGCAGTCCCGGCCCTTGGTGCCACCTGCCCCAAAGGTGAGTCTGAAAGCTCTCAAGGTAAAAGCCGAAGCCACCAGGCTCCAGGGAACAAGACTGCGGTTGAGAACCGGAGGAGTTCATGCTTCCTGAATTTCCAGAAAAAAAGCCAAGGACCAAAGCTTAGTGTTCCTTAGTACCTGCACGACTGCCCATTAAGGGGGTGATAGGGTTTCTGGTTTCATGTGAAAGATGTTGCCCTGGAGCCTGAGCTAGGATGGCTTTACAGCTGGATCTGCAGCTGACCAGCAGGGTGGCCCTGAGCAAGTCACCTTCTTGAGTCTTCAGTTTCCTTTTCTAGAAAGAGGCAATAAGCAGCAAAGCCAGTCCCCTTAGGTGGCCATGAAGGTCAAGGCAGTTAATTTGTGTGAACTGCCAGCCTGTGGTAGGCTGTGCACAAATGGCTCCTCATTACCTCCTCCCTGGGCTGGTGTGCTCTCCGGCTGCCAGTCCTGGGAGTTGGGCAGAGGAGGTGAGGGAGCTGGCCAACTGCCCTGTGTTCCCAGGAGGCCCTGGGGAATCTGTGGACTGAGCTGCAGCTTTTGGGGAGAAGGAAGGGGATGGCTTGTCAGCTCTGGGTCGGGGGACCGGCATGCAGCAGGGCTTACGGTCTGGATGAGCAGACGTGTCGACAGACTTCTGTGGGAAACCATTCTTCTGAGCCGACTGGCTATCTACCCTTCCAACCGGTCAGAAGCAAGGGGCCAGCTCCCCACCGACCCCACTGATCAGCAGGTAGCTGATGTCTCTCTCCGCCCCTTCTCTTTCTTCCCACAGTTTCCTGAATATAGACCACAGAGGGCTGGGAGGGTGACTGGCTCGAGAATCAGACCTGTCTAAGGTGCTGCTCCCTTTCCTCGAGGACTCTGAACAGCATGGAATCTGGAAGAAGCCTGTCTGGCCGCCTCTGAGTTCCTCCTTCCCTCCCCACTCCTCCCAGAACTGCCGCAGATCCGAAAATCTCCTTCTTGACTCAGTGCCTCCTCAGCCTCCTTGGAGGCCCAGAGGGACCCCTGTCCGATAGCATCCAAGTGTTGTTTTGTGCAATATACAGCCCCGGGGCGGGGGGTGGGGGTGGGGGACACGGCGCAGAAGAGGATGGATGGCGGCTTCTCCTCCACCCTCCCTTCAGCTGGCCCCTCACCTCGGAGGTGCCGGTGGAGAAGGCCCAGGCTGTCTGAGCTGCCGAGTCCGGCTGGTAAAAGTCCCATTTAGCCCTCAGGCCAGGACTGAGCCTGGAGAAGCCACCCATCCTCGTCCTGTGCTGGGGGTACGCATGAGAGCTTGCCATTGCTTCTGTCTTCCTCGAAGGTCCCAGGCAGTGGAGGCCGGCTACCTGCCCATCCCTTTTTGCTCTGAGATTGAGAGGGGTCAAACCAGCCACGGCTGTGGCCCTGCCCAGGGCTGGGTTGAGGTCACAGCTTCTGGCTCCATGGCCGCATGTGAACAAGTCGAGTCCCCTCCCCGCCCCACCCCTCTCAAACACCCGTACCCCCTTATTCACCCGGGTCCCTCTGACTCAGATAGGTACTATTTGTAGACAGTATGGACAGCAGGGGGAGCACCGGGCCTCCTCTGAGCCGCGATGCCAAAGGTTCCGCCTCCCGCAGTGTTCCCGGTTGCCCTCTGCTTTCCCTTCTGCACTGTCCAGGTGCCCCATGGCTTCGACTTCTCCTCCCCGCTTGGCCCCACCCAGTCTGGTGCTGTGGAGACTGGACCCTCAGCAGTCCCGACCTCCTGGGGACCTGGTGCTTGTGACCTGTACGTCAGTGTCCTGCCTCAGGGGTTGGCCCCTGGGTTTCCTATATTGGTTCTCAA